ACGACTAGCTGAATACTCAGCGAGGCGAGCTAAGTATTTTGCTAAGCACTTAGCTTCGGCTCATCAGGGACTTAGTAAGACACTGAGCAAGATACTTAACATATTATATTCAAACGACTCAGCTAAATACTTGGAATGCCTCCTCTGAGCATGCTAATCATGCAGTAACTATGCAAGTCTGCTAAGTACTTGCACTGACCCCTGGACCACCCAGGCAAGACGGGCTTCCCTGGACTGGCGGGTCCGCGGTGGCCTCGTGCAGGCGTGGCCCCTGCCATTGTGACCTGGGCGCCCCCGGCGCCAGAGCGGCGTCGCCCCCCCCCCAGGGCGCGAACCCCTCGCGAGCCCAGGCCGTCCAGTCGCGCCCCGGACTCGGCGAGGCCCCCCTCCGCACGCGGCGTCGGAGCCCGCTCCCAGGAGGCCCAGGTCGGCCGGCGCGTCGGATCGACCGCCCCCTCGGCCGAGCCCTCGCCCACTGTAGACCGGCGCGTCTGCGCGTGGCGGGTGCGCAGGCGCGCGCGCGCGCGACGGAGTCTGCTCGGCGGGCGGGTCGACATCGGACGCGAGGGCGTCCTCGGCGAGCAGTGCGGCGGGCTCGGCCGGCCCCGGGTCGCAGCGCCCTTCCGTTTGCAAGGGGCGGGCACCCGTATGGCAAGGCAGCGCCGCTCCCCGTTGTCGGGCTCACTCTCGGATTCGGGGGCCAGCGACCGACGTCCGTCGGCCTCGTTCATGGGGCGCTCGGGCCTCGAACGGCAGCACGCGCGTGAATAGGCCTCAGGTCCCGCGCAAGACCCACCACGGGCCTCCCCACGCCTTGCATCAACCGACAACCGACCCGCGCGATGCGGGCGGGCGTCGCCTGGGCATGCTCCGCCAGGCTGACGCTCATGGTCGATCGCGGCGTACTGGTCGATGTGCATGGGATGGGCGCAGGAACGCCCGGGCGCGCGACACAGCTACGCCGTGCCTAGCGCCGTGAGGTCCTGCCGCCACTGCCGGCTCGTGCAATTGAGCACCTCGCCCAGTCGAAAATTTAGCCCGTGCCGATCCAGTCGGGGCACATTGGTGAAATTGCACTTCACGCGGGCCACATGCCCGATCTTACGCAGCAGCATGTGGTTGGGTTGCCGCCCGGCGCCGTGACCTCGCACGCAGGTATGGTAATATGCGGCCTCCGTCTGACTGCCGACGCCTGGGTCCTAGCCAATGGACGTGCAGGGGTGGCGGCGGGGTTTGGGATAGGTGTGCGGCCGGGCCCAGGGGCGCTCGTCAGCAGCAGTGCGCGAGCTGGCGCCAGGCCTAACAAAGGCCAGCAACAGCGCGGCGTTGACGCACCACGCGCGCGTCCTGAGGAGGAAGGCGATCATCGCCATCATCAGGCAGCACATCGCGGTGCTCTACCACTGGCTCAAAATCGAAACGTCGAGCCCGTCCACAGCCTACCCAGTCCAGCCCAGTTGAAAGCGAGCGTACCTGGCCGACTCGGTGTACTTGCTCACCCCCCAAATCCGCGGAGCTCCCAGGCCCGGCGCAGGCATCTCCTGTTGCTCATCTGCGCCTAGGCTGGGGGTCGCCCGCAGCGGGGGGGGGCTCGTCAGGTGACGGGGCCTGCCCCAGCAGGGCCCAGACCAATGCACAGTCGGGGATCCACGCCTGCCAGCCCCCAGCAGCCAGCACCACATCTGCCCCCGAGCGACTGCAGTCCCGCCGGGGGGGCCCGAGCCCGGCCGGGCCCTGGCCGCTGCCGCTCCCCGCCAGGGGAAGGCCTCCAAGCCCCGGCGCCGCCCCATTCGCACCACGAGGCAGCACCCGCTCGGCGGGCGCCGGTGCCTGGCCCACGCCCCTTGCCACCAGCCGACCCGCCAGGAAGGGCGCCGCCTCGCCTCGCGGCTTGGCGGCCGAGGCCGCACCTTGCGCAGGCTCAGGGGGGGGGGGGGCGCTGGGCCACAAGGCCGCGCACGCCGCGCGTCACACGCTGGACCTGACGGCCTCGCGGGCGGCGCTGCCTCCAGGAGGCTGCGAGCCCCCCAGCCACCTAGCCCACGCAGGTGGCCAGCTCTCCACTTGGCTGGCCAGGGCCAGTCTGATGCCATGGGCGGCCATAATCATGCGCCTGGGGGCGAAACACCTGACGCGAGCCTCCCAAGGCTGCGAGGTCAAAATGGCGGAGCCCAAAACAGCCCCCCCGCTATTGTGCGTGTCAAGGATTCGCAACCCCCAAGTTGTGTCTCCCTGGGGCCCCGTGGATACGTGAGAATACATGCCCCGCGCACATGCGCCAGGGGCACGTCCCCCCCTCCGAACGCGTATTCTGGTGTGTCCAATTCGGGCGCCGCTGCTCGACATCCTTCTGGTGGAGGGCCTGTGGCCCGAAAACTAAAATAATTAGAGCCCTGGGCCGGAGCCCTTGCTAGGAAAAACACATGGACTGACGTCGGACTGACAAATCGCATCCTTGAAGATTTAGGGCCTGCTCCTCCTCCTCGTCCTCACCCCCTCGAGGCGAGAGCGCGCACCCCCACCCCCCGGCGCGCTCTTGGCGCGGGAGCGCCTTGCGGATGGCACCGTGCAGCTCGCCCCCGGTGATGAGCTCCGTGAGCTCGCGGGGCGCGCCCGGCGGGAGCGGCTCCCCCACTGCTCGTGGAGGGGCAACGTCGGCAACGTGAGGGGAGGCCAGCTCCGGGGAGGAGCACCCGACCTGGAATCGGTAGGAAGGCACCAACTATACACCAACACCGATCCTGGCCAGGATCACCCTGGGCCCAGGATCGGTGTATACGCCCTCCTGCCTTGCGCAAGAAGGCATATACACCGATCCTGGGCCCAGGGTGATCCTGGGCCAGGATCGGTGTCGGTGTATAGTTGGTGCCCTCCGAATCGGCGAGACATCGCCGACCGATCGGCGTCGGGCCCCGACGTCGGACAGCGAGTCCACATCATGATCCTGGGCGGGGCGGGCTATCCGGCCCCCATCGGCGATCCATGGGCGATTGCGGGTCGAGGCACCCCCTCCTCACCCCGTCCCCCCCCCCTAACGCCTGATCCATCTCCGCGCCCTCGCTGCTCCTCCTCCTCCTGCTCCTCCTCCTCCTCCATCTCAACGTCCTCCTCCTCCTCCTCCTCCTCCTCCTCCATCTCAACGTCCTCGCTCCTCCTCGTCATCCCTCTCGTCACAAAGTCTCCGACGACATGCTGTTTCACTCTGAGCGCGTGTCGGACTTTGGGGCCCGTCATCGGGCCCCAGCACCATCAAACATTGTTCGCGGGGCGGAGCAACATCGCTGGAGAAGCGGTCGTGACCTCTGGGGCCGCGGGATGTAAAAATCAGATCGTCGTTTGCATGGGTCGTCGTCCTCGTCCCCTCCTTGCTTCCTTCTCCTCCTCCTCCTCCTGCTCCTCCTCCTCCTCCTCCTCTTCCAGCCCTGCCCTTACCATTCCCTTCATGCAAATTTCCCAGGAGGTCGGTTCAAATAACGACGCTAGATATGCAAATGTGTGTCAGGAGACGCCCGATGGCTCCCGATAACACTGCAGCCACATGGCAGCGGATAGCACCGTTGGATTCGCGACAGGTAGCCCGACATTCACCCGATGAACCCGCGAGGGTCATTCCAACACCCGCCCTCGATCAAGGCGAGGCGCACAGGTGATGGGGAGCGTGATGACCTTGCACCAAGCGCAGAGTCATTGAAAATTAGCCTCGTGTTTTGCGGTTAACGTCAAACGCCAAGTAAACACCCAAGTCACAGCATGTAACGATGCGTACAGACTCAAAAGGCACAGACTCGCGTTCGGAGTGGGTTAGCCAGCTTACTTCGCCAATTGCAGCGGCAACGCCTGAAGGCTGTATGTGGCGTCGCAAGTGACGTCGTCGCGGGGCTGGGCGTGATCGTAGTGGGTTAGGTGTCTGTAAGATTCCTCGGTGTCCCGAAACTGGGAAAGACGCTGATGTCGACACAGGGCACGTATGTTCTTCGAAACAAACGGCTTCAATATGCAGACAGCCCACTTCACAAACTTATACTGAAAATTGGGTAGGCGCTCTGTCGGTGTTCAGCTGCTGAGCTGAGACATATGATCCTCCTTCTGTATCCTGCTATATGAGAGGTGTCATTCGTATGCTCGTTGGGGCCACCCGTCGACTGACATGGTGAATGCGTCTGCCAAGTTCTCGTCCGAACTCACGCTAACGGCCTTGATGTCGCCCGTCCTGGTACCGACAGGGGAGAGGGTGGTGGTGTGGAGACTGGGGAGGGGAGAAAGACGAAGGAGGGGGACAAGGAAGATAACGGGAAGGCTAAAACTGGCCAGCTCGACCCGCTTTCCAACCCTAGCAGGGCAGGGGGAGAGTTGGCACAGCCGAAATAGGTACGAACAAAACGGGCACGATGTCCGCTGTTGTATGCGAATATATGACGCCCGCGGCGACGCCAACAGCGAGTCCCGTTCAGAATGGGCAGGAACTGCTGTCGGTCGTCGTACCGATTCTCGTAGGGTTTTTGAATGGACTTCACATTTGGGGTTCAACCCTGGGATATACGATGCGACGGCGTCCATCCTCGATAGGGGTGCGTCCGAATAGCCCTCCTTGGGGTGCATCCCAGGGTTTCCCTCTTTTTCTGAGTGCTTTTAGTTTTCGTCCAAATCGGGGGTTGGGGGAGAAAAATCGGCTGCGACCTTCCGCACCCATGTCGGCCCTCCAGAGGGGAGGCGCTCATTTCTCGCCACCCCGAAGGAGCTGAGCAGGGACCGACTGTCCCGGCATTCCTATAGTCCTACCACGGAATGTTCTTAGAACCCAAACATGTTCTAATAATCTAAGAACAAACAACAGCGTTCTTAGAACATCAACTCGATGTGATAAAGCAAGACAGGCTCCGCCAGAAATGCTCTCAGAACATTTCGTGGGAACCACAAAAGGTTCTTAGAACATTGTTTGGTAGGGCTATCAGCGAGCCGGGACGCTTCGCCACTGCTTGACAGAGGGGAGGCGCTCCTTTCTCGCCACCCGGCAGGAGCGAGAGCCGCCGCGATACCCCGCGCGCCGGCGCACCCACCCGGCCCACAGCGGCGAGGGGAGACGGGCCCGGGGCGGCAAGCAGCGCCCGCCGAGGCGGCCCGGAGGCAGCGGCGGGAGCGAGCAGCCCTGGCATAACAGCCTCCCTCCTGCTTGCTCCTCCTCCTCACTGCTCCTCCTCCCCCCACCCTCCTCCTCCTCCTCCTCCTCCTCCTCCTTCCTCCCTCCTTCTCCTCCTCCTCCTCATTCCTCCTCCTCCTCTTCCTCTTCCTCCTCCTCGTCCTCCTCCTCCACAGACTAGCCATCAAAAAGACACCCTTAGATCCAAAACTCGCTGTGGCGCGAGTCTCGGTCGAACGGAACAAGTAAACTGACATTAAGAACAGTTGTGCTTCAAGGTTGGCAGAGCTACAACTTATTCCACACCTCCCAAAACATGTCACAAAGTCGGACTAGTGTCAAACTCCCCCTCCTCTTCCTCCTCCTCATCCTCGTCTTTTTCCTTATCCTCTTCCCTATCCTGGTCCTGCCTCTCATTACGTATCCTCCTCCTCTTCGTCCTCCTCCTTCTTCCCGCTCCTGCCCAACCCTCTTCCCACCCTACCTCTGCTCCTCCTCCTCCTCCTCCTACTCCTTCTCCTCCTCCCCCTCCTCCTTATCCTCCTCAGCATCACCATTATCATCACCACCACCACCATCACCATCACCATCATCATCACTATCATCATCAGCAGCGGCATCATCAAAATCAGCATCATCAACATCAGCATCGGCATTAGCATCATTAGCATCATCATCAGCAGCAGCATCATCATCGTCATCGTCGTCGCCATCATCAGAAGCATCAGTGTCACCATCACCATCATCATCATCATCAACATCATCATCATCATCATCATCATCATCATCATCATCATCATCATCATCATCATCATCATCATCATCATCATCATCATCATCATCGTCATCGTCATCGTCATCGTCATCATCATCATCATCATCATCGTCATCATCATCATCATCAACATCATCATCTGCATCATCATCGTAAGCAGCAGCAGCAGCAGCATCACCGTCCTCATCATCAGCAGCATCAGCACCAGCACAAGTATCAGCATCAGTACCATCATCACCATCATCAGCATCAGCATCATCAGCAGGGCTCCATCTTTGAATGGGTGAGATTTGGGAGGATTACGGGAGGGAGGGATGGGGAGCGCATTGGGCTGAAGAGGGGGAAGACGACAGAGAACGGGGTGTGGACGAGAATGGGGGAAGGCGCGGCCCATACAATACCAACTCTGGGGCGCATCTTGCCATACCTGCCCGAGACAGCCGCGACCAAGACTGGGAGCTCAGGGGCACACCGTCGAGGACAAGGCCGTACACACGCCATGTCGCCGAGCTCAGAGCACGGTGTCGAAGAGAAGGCTGCACGTCATGTCGCTCCCCTGCCACCCCAGCTCGGCAGTGCCAGCAAGAGGAGAAACCCATGCTGCCCTCGTTCCCATGTGGTGGCCCCTCTCCTCGTCTCCCTGTCCAGACTTAGATTTTTTTGTATTGGATCGCCAAATCACCGGATCACATAACCACTCTACTGGATCAGCCCGACCATCTAGATCAACCGAATAACACGGATCAACTGGCTCATCCGAATCAACCGGATCAGCCAAATCAACTGGGTCAACCAAATCACCCGGAATATCAACCAGATAGTTATCCCGGAAATATATCAACGGGATCAACTGGATCAGCCAATTCAACCGGATCAGCCGGATCAACCAAATCACCAGATCAACAACCAAATCATCGGATCAGCCGGCGGGATCACCAAATCACCAGATCAGCTGGCCAGGATCACCCAGCGGGGTCACCGGATCACCAAATCAAATGGCCAGCTCACTGGATCACCGGGAGCAACCGTGGATCAGCCTATCCACCGGCCCTATCACCAAATAACCGGATCACTGAATCACCCAGATTAGCCGGCCGGATCACCAAATCACTGCATGGACTAACGGTAAGATCACCACCAATTCAGCTGGGTGGTCTGGATCACCAAAATCAATCGGATCACCTGGATCAACTGGATCAACCAAATTAACAAAATCAACCGGATCAACAGGATCAACCGGAACAATCCAGATTAAACGGAACAGCCAGCCCGATCACTGCAGGTCACCGGATCAGCTGGATCACCAGATCACCCAGCCGGATCACTGGATCAGCTGGCCAAATCACCCGATCACAGGATCAATAGGCAGGATCACTGCATCACTGGATCAACTGGATCACCAGATCTCCGGATCAACTGGATCACCGGATCAGCCGGCCCTTGATCACCCCGATCTGGATCAGCTGGCTGGATCACAGTATCACCTGATCACTGGATCACTGGATCAACCGGCTGGATCACCGGATCACCGATCAGCCGGCTGGATCACCGGATCGGCTGGCTGGATCACCAAATCACTGGATCACCCGATCACGGGATCACCTGATCAATGGGCTGGATCACCAGATCATCCAGCCGGATCACCGGATCGCGGGATCAGTGGAGCGACCCAATTCAAGCAACAAACTTTAGTTTAGACGCACTCGTGGCCTCGAGGTAGATGGCGACCCTTCGCTTAGCCATCATGCTTCTCAAGCAAACTGGCTTGGCCCCACCCACAAAGATTTTTCAACATCTGAGATGCACCGCTTACCATCCCCTTCCACCGCGCACAAGCCGCTCCCCACTCGTTCGCTCCGTCGCTCCCTCCGTCACTCGTTCTGTGACCCTGCTCGCTCCCCTCGTCCCTCGTTCGCCCTCATCGCATCCCTCGCTCCCTCGCTGCTCCCCCGGCCCGCAGGCCAGCCCCATAGGCCGCAATCATCTAACGCTCTGAGTTTGTTCATGATGGTAACTCGGAGTAACTCGCGCCTTCGGTCTGAAGAGCGTAGACGGCCCAAGAGGTCCCCCGAGGGTGCCCCCCAAGACGGCCACCGACCCCCCCCCAAAGCGGCGCCCGAGAGACCCGCCAGCGGAGCCCCCGAGGGGAAACTCGAATGGGCCCCAGGAGGCATCCCCTAAAGAGGGTCCCCGAGAGACCCGCCAGCAGCTCCCCCAGAGGACCCCGAAGGCCCCCCCCCAAGAAGCCCCCAAACACATGAGGTGCCTTCAACCCAAGAGGTCCCCCCAAGCACTCTGCCGGGATGGACCGAAGGTCGCTGAATTGTTTTTGCGATACTCTTCGCACTTCGTAGGAATGGGGGGTCTTGACTGCATACCTGCGTGCGCCTGTCTCCTACGCCACGAGAGTATATACACAGAGGCACCCTCCGACGAGCTTTGCATGTACCCTTAAGGAGGGTGACGGTGAATCAAATCGCTGGCTCTCAGAGGTGATTAATACACCGCCCCCCCCCTGAGGCTCAGGAACAATCCATTGGAGGGTGTCTGTGTGTACATCTGTTTTTGTGGCGGATCTCCCGTCATCGGGCACTTCCCAACTGCGCCTCGGAAACCGTGACGGCTCGTGCCCGGACCGCGGAGCGGGGAAGGTCCGACACGACAGTCGCCCCTGGGGGCACGGCCCAGACTGGTACGGCGACAGGAGGTGGAGCTAGACGAGCAGGAGGAGGGCGAGGAGAAGGAGGAGCAGGGGAGTGGCGCAGCGGGGGGAGCAGGAGGACGATGACGAGGAGGAGTAGGAGGAAGGAGGAAGGAGAAGAGGAGGCAAACCCAAGACGCACCAACGACTTTGCGATAGACCCTCCCTCCAGTTCCCTCTTCATAGTTCCCTCCACTAGTATGTTATCATTGTGGGAAGTGGAAAGTGCCCTCTTGGAAGACGATCGCCGAATAATCCTCAATCGCAATCGTGTCAAAACACTGCTCAGGAGGAGGGGAGGGGGATAAAGGAACACGACTCTATGAGCCGCGCTCAAAGTCTAGCTCACCACAAGGAGAGAGAGGAGGAGGAGGAGGAAGAGGAGGAGGATCATGTTTTTGACACCAACAGTGCGAACACCGAGCGACGGCGGCCGTCGCTCCCTGCGGCCAGCCTTGGCCTTGGATGAAGGCAAGCCAGACAGCAGAAAATAACTAGGAGGGCGGGCGGAAAACCACATGGCGAAACCCTAAGTCCAGGGTGGTCCCCCGTAGCTAACCGCCTGCCACCCAAGGCTAGTCTGAATCATCAGAGCAAACCTCTCGGGCGGCCACCACGGGAACCTCATCCTCTTCAAAGGCAAGGGTCTCCCGCGCCCTGGTCAGGGCCGTTGTCGGGCAGGGCACGGTCGGCACCGCATCCGGAGGCACGACATCTCTCTGCCCTTCACACAGAGGACCAGCGCTCGAGGAGGCACCGCCGATGGGCATTGCAACTCCAGGAGCGGCGCCAACACTCTCTGGGGACTCGGCCTCACGAGGGCAGGGCTGGCCTCCAGCCGCCGCTAAGAGGCGACGGACAGCGCGTGCCGTTCGCAGCTCCTTCTCCCGCTCCTCGGGCTCGGTGAAAGGTCTGGGGTTGCCACCCGCCATTTCGTGGTCGATGATGGCAACACGTTGGCCAACCGCCACACACTCCAGCACGCTAAAGGTGACTCCCATCATTGACAAACTCCCATGCGCGCCTAGCACCAACACTCCGTGGGGAACCATCACATAGCTTCAGGAGATTGTGGGGATTACCGTGCGATGCGTAGGCGTTGCACCGCAAACATATAATCAAAACAGCACCGTCTGAACACGGGAGCGCGAGGTAATTGAGCTGGAGACTGGCTAGCACAGCAGGCGTAAGCTTGGGGTCGCGAAGGCACTTGCCAGACAGGGGCTGCATTTCCTCTCAAATGATACGACCGCTCTTACCTCTACATGGTACACATTTAGCAGCCCTCAAGCAATCAGTACACTGCCAAACGACAAGACCCGACTCCTGTTATGACGATGGGGGAGGGGCCTTAGAACAGGGGGGGGTTAGGCACCAGGCTGACTACAATTAGGTTTAACCTGAGCACATGGGACACCAGCTCCGCCGAAAGACGCATTGCACACTTGGCGGCTCGAGTGCACTTGCCAAGCCAGTCCACATCTTCGGTATCAAGCTTATGGTGCACGTCCAAGAAATTCTTGACACTACTATCGGCAAAGTCATAGCTTCCAAAATTGCTGCTGATCGGTTAGGTCGCTCGAACCTTCAACGTGGGCCTTGACCTTAAAAGCACCATTTCGGCAAAAGAAGCACGACATCAACACGCTTATAAGACAAAGCTCGCAGCAGGGGCTCATTAGCCTGAACGACTGCATTCGTGCAATCAGAGTAAATAGAGCTGCCAGCCTGAGCATTCATGGCGGCAGCGGCGTAAGCCCCACGTTCTCCTCCTTGAGGCGCTTGACAGTTCGGGGCCCACGAAGGGCAGCTAATTCGACAATTTGTTCCCCGTTGCCACCTGCAACTACGACCCCCCGCCCAGCCCTAGAGGGTTCTTCTTATGGTACGGGAGATACACGACCCGTCCACGAATATGTGCCACAGATTTACACGCTCGTCCAGAGAACTTCCAGCCCATTTTCTTCAACCCCATCGCGGGCAAAATGCGGATACACCCCCCCAGGATGTCGGAAAATACCACGGGACTATAACCGATAGTCATCTTCATTGCCAGGTGAAAGATCAGGAGGAGGAATTTCAAACGTCATTTTAAATGACTCGCCCGCCACTTCTCTCAGGTCTTGGCTGGCTGGGCAGGACCAGAGGAGGTAAAGGATGGTATCAGGGTGTGTGTGGCACAGATCACATGACATCCACATCGCAGCCTGCCTCTGCCGCCCTCGTGCGAGTCCAAGTGGCATTGCACGCGCGCGCGCGCTTTGGCGCGCCATCGCTGAAGGGCGTGCCTTTCTTGGATCTCAGCGTAGCAGAACCGCAGCATGACAAACGCGAACACTAAAAGTCAGAGGCAGGAGGGCAGCCCCGCTGGCGCGCTCATGGTTCCTCTGCACAGTCGCCTTCAAAAACTTCTGAAGAAGGACAGGGGAGGCGACCGCGAGGGAGACTTCGGCGCCGAAACCGCCCGACAGGGTACAAACATTAAGCATGGGCCGAAATATCCGACGCAAGACCAGCTTCATGGCCCACAAGGGCCCCTTCACCCTGCGCCAGGTTGGGGCCCCGGGTTCCCGAATAACCATGGACCAGGAGCGCCGCGTTTCAGCATGGGGGATCGCAAACGGGAGCAACTGAGTCCGTTTCGCCCAGATCTCCTTGGAATGGCGCACGATGGGCGCCGCCGCAACGTACTAGGTAGGGTCCTGGGAAAGGATGAGGAGCGAGGTCCGTGACCTCATCTTGGCGGATGGCTGCGCAGTGCTGGCAGCGGAGATCTACTACCTTTCCCATTCAGAATTCGAAGCGCCATGGACCTCGGCCCCGCGCGCGAGGCCCCGAAAAGGGGGTCAGCAGTT